CAAAGACATAAAAACACAAACGCACAAAAGACACAAAACGCACAAAGACTAAAAACACAATAAAACACACAAAACGCACAAACACAAAGATTTATATTCAGATTCATATTCACAGAAAACAATAAAACAAACACTTTAATTTTAATCTCATTTGAATAACGACTTTAAAAACACAAGACATTTAAATAAAGACATTTTGTCTGTTGTAACTTTGTTTGAAACTCGGTGAAGTTTGTGTTTTTATATTAAATAATTATACATCATGGATATTGTGGATTTGTATTAAACTTTCACTTTATGTCAAATTTCTTTTGCAAATTGTTGCATATTTCTGTTTTCAACATAATTAGTTGTGATTTGAAACTACGACTCTGTGCTCAGTACTTTTGTTGTGTCCTTAGGCAAGACACTTGAGCCACATTGCTTCATATGCATCAGTCTGTCCCAGGGCAGCTGTGGCTACAGTAACAGAGTGGAGTGAATGAAGTACTGCAGTACTACTGTAGTAATAATACTGCATTAGTTGTGTACAGATCTACAGACGCTCAAAGTCTCTTCAGTCTCTGGTGTCACAGCCGCCCTGGGGCAGACTGACAGAAGAGAGGCTGTCAGTCTGCGCATCCAACCAACACCACCACATTCATATGAGGCAATGCAAGGGAAGTGTCTTGCTTAAGGACACAACCACAGCTTTTACCAGTGGTGCCTCCTGTGGCCCCTGATAATCCCAGTGATCTCAGACCAAGTCCAGACCCAGAACCAGAACCAGATCTGCTCAACCAAACATCTGAGCTCAAGGTTTGGAGACCGACACTACTACTACTACTACTACTACTACTACTACTACTACTACTACTACTACTACTACTACGCTACTGCTACTGCTACTACTACTGCTACTGCTACTGCTACTACTACTACTACTACTACTACTACTACTAACTGGCTAAAGCTACTGACAAATTCAGTACTTGTCAACTGCTACTGCTACTAACTACTACTACTGTTTACTTTACTGGTTGAAACTACTGTTTCTCAGTTCATCTAAGCTTCTTCTTCAGTTGTGCTCAGAGGCTGGTGCGTCATCTCTGCCTGCAGGGGGCGCTCACTACACTGAAACTCCTCTGAAACTAACACTTACTAACTGGCAGAATCGCGTCTACAACTCCGTCCTCAAACCTAAACCAAAGAGAAGAGCAACAGGAGCAGATCAGGGCAGAGGAGTGAAAACACTCCTGCTCATGTCCACACACTCTGATAAACAGACCGAGCGACACACACAAACTGTAAACATGTGTGTGTTAGTTTCAGAGGAGTTTCAGTGTAGTTAGCTCCTCCTGCAGACAGATATGAGGCACCAGCGTCTGACCAGAAGTGAAGAAGCAGCTGGGGATTTTACTCACACTACTATAAGTACAACTTCCACTGTTAGTACTACTACTGCTACCAGTACTTGTACTTCTACTGCTGCAGTTGTGTGTACCTTCTATAGGTTTGGGGAGGAAGTGCGCCGCTGCCTTGGTCTTCTTCACTCTGTTTCCTTTCATGATCTGTCCGTCCTTGTTGAGGCCGAGGTACCAGGCCCGACCCGACTCCTTCTGTCTGTACAACATCGAGCTGTAGATCACGTAGTAATTCTCAAACACCGACTCCTTAAACTTACACTCCACCGTGAACAGCTCCTGCACAAAAAAACACACAAACGTCACCGTAATTCAAACACAAAAACACAAAAATATAACCACAATTCAAACGCGCAAACACACAAATATCAGCACAAGTCAAACACTCGTCGCACGAATGAAACTCGTGCTCGTCACTTCAGGTTTGTCCAGTTGTTGTGTTCAGTTTTGTGTCGTGTTTTTGTGTTTTTATGGAGGATTGTCTTGTGGGAGCTTGTGGGCGGAGCCTCGTACAGGCTTGTGCTGCAGCGAACCATAAGGAAGGTTTGAATAAGGCCCAGGACAGATCTCTAGATGACTCAAACATGCATGGAAGAGTCTAGAACCTCCTCAGACAGGTTTGTGGTTTGTGATGAGGAACAGTGATAATACGTCCGCTTTAATCATTTTATTTAAATCTCTGTCTGTGCTCTGATTGGCTGCAGCCTCCCTCCTCCTCTATGATTGGCTCTCGTGTTTCCTGTCTGCACACCTTTTTATTTATTTTTTTTATTTTATTTTATTTATTTATTATTTATTTATTTTTAATTTTTTTCCTGTCGGCACACCTTTTAGATTTTTCTTTTTTCTATTTTTTTCTTAATTTCTTTTCTTAAATTTTTTCTTTAATTAAATTTTTATTAATACATTGTTTTTCCTCTCCACATACCTTTTTATTTTTTTATTTATTTATTTTAAAAATTTTCCTCTCTGCACACCTTTTTGATTTTTCTTTTTTCCATTTTTTCTTTATTTCTTTATTTTAGTTCTTTATTTATTATTTAGTATTTTTATTTTATTTTTTGTAAATTTTTTCCCTCTCTACACACCTTTTTTTTATTTTTTTTATTATTATATATATATATATATATATATATATATATATATATATATATATATATATATATATATATTATTTTTTTTTTTTTTTTTTTTCCTCTCTGTACACCTTTTTATTTATTTTTCATTTATATATTTATTTATTTAGCATTATTTTTATTTATTTATTTTCCCCCATCTCTTCACACCTTATTTATATTTATACTTATTTTTTAATTTTTATAAAAAAAAATTTTTTAAATTTAATTTTCCCCCCTCGTCTCTGCACACCTTTTTTTTTATTATTTTTTATTATTTTTCATTTATTTATTTAGTATTATTTTTATGATTTTATTTAATTGTTCCCCCTCGTCTCTGCACACCTTCGTGTCTTCGCGTCTCGTCTCAGGTTTGGCTCAGGTTTCCACGGCAACGGGAGGAAAAAGCGTCACCCTGGAAACGAGCAGCGCCGTTACCCGCGGCGACGGAGAGGTAATGGCGATGTAATGACAGAGGCCAGACTGGGATCACAACCAGATCTGAGCAGGGTCCGGACCGGGATCACAACCAGATCTGAGGAGGGTCCGGACCGGGATCACAACCAGATCTGAGCAGGGTCCAGACCGGGATCATAACCAGATGTGATGAGGGTCCGGACCGGGATCATAACCAGATCTGAGGAAGGTCCAGACCGGGATCACAACCAGATCTGAGGAGGGTCTAGCTTTAGTCCAGAACAGAACCCTCCTGGTCCAGACCTGGTCTAGTTCTGACCCAGATCTCGGTCTGACTCCTGAACTCAGTGACACCAGATTATTCAGAAAAATCCAATATGTCTGCTCCTCTTCCTCCTCCCTCCCTCTTTCTCTCCCTCTTTCTCTTTCTCTCCTTCAATCCCTCTCTCTCTCTTTTTTACTCTTTGTTTTTTCTTCTTGACTTTCACTGTCTCCATTTTCCCAACCATCCTCTCCTTTTTTTCTTTTCACTCTATTCTCTCTCCTCCCTCCCTTCCTCCCTTCCTCTCTCCTCTCCGTCTCTCCTCTTTCCCGTGTCTTTCTCTTTTCCCTCCCTCCCTCTTTCTCTTGCCCTCCTCTTAGTTTCTCCCTCTCTCTTCCTCTCCCTCTCTCCTTTTGCACTGTCTCTGTCTGTCTGTCTTTTGCTCTCCTCTCTCCTCATCTCTTCCTCGCCTCTTTCCTCTTTCCTCTCTCTCTTCTTCTTCCTCCCTCGTTCTTCTCTCTCTCTTCTTCCTCCCTCGTTCATGTGAAGTGTTTTCTGATGAGCTTCAGATTCAAGTGTCAATAATTAAACAGGGATTTTCCTCTTTTCACAAACAAACTCAATATTTACAACTAAATACACCAAAAAATCTACTAAAAACACAAAAACACAAAATCCACTAAAAAAACACACAAAAATCCACTAAAAACCACACAAAAATCCACTAAAAAACACACACAAAAATGCACTAAAAACAAACAACACACACAAAAATCTACTTCAGAACCACGAGACCAAGAGACGGGAGGGCATCTGACTCATACTCTGTGTGTGTGTGTTGTGTTGTCACTGTCAGAGTTGTGTGTGTGTGTGTGTTGTGTGTGTGTGTTGTGTGTGTGTGTGTGTGTGTGTGTGTGTGTGTGTGTGTGTGTGTGTGTGTGTGTGTGTGTGTGTTGTGTGTGTGTGTGTGTGTGTGTGTGTGTGTGTGTGTGTGTGTGTGTGTGTGTGTGTGTGTGTGTGTGTGTGTGTGTGTGTGTGTGTGTGTGTGTGTGTGTGTGTGTGTGTGTGTGTGTGTGTGTGTGTGTGTGTGTGTGTGTGTGTGTGTGTGTGTGTGTGTGTGTGTGTGTGTGTGTGTGTGTGTGTGTGTGTGTGTGTGTGTGTGTGTGTGTGTGTGTGTGTGTGTGTGTGTGTGTGTGTGTGTGTGTGTGTGTGTGTGTGTGTGTGTGTGTGTGTGTGTGTGTGTGTGTGTGTGTGTGTGTGTGTGTGTGTGTGTGTGTGTGTGTGTGTGTGTGTGTGTGTGTGTGTGTGTGTGTGTGTGTGTGTGTGTGTGTGTGTGTGTGTGTGTGTGTGTGTGTGTGTGTGTGTGTGTGTGTGTGTGTGTGTGTGTGTGTGTGTGTGTGTGTGTGTGTGTGTGTGTGTGTGTGTGTGTGTGTGTGTGTGTGTGTGTGTGTGTGTGTGTGTGTGTGTGTGTGTGTGTGTGTGTGTGTGTGTGTGTTGTTGTGTGTGTTGTTGTGTGTGTTGTGTGTGTGTGTGTGTGTGTGTGTGTGTGTGTCCACACTGTTCATTATCACAGCTGTAATTACCCCAGAGATTAAACAAACCACACGACGACAACAACCACAACAACCACACCACAGAACGAGGGATGAGGAGGAGGAGAGAGAGAGAGAGAGAAGAATGGGAGAGAGAAGAAGAGAAGAAACAATTTACAATACAACAGAAACAAACGACAGGAAAGAGAGAGAGGAGAGAGGAGAGAGAGGAGAGAGAGAGAGGAGGATGAGGAGAGAGAATGAGGAGAGA